CCCGCATAACCGGGAGCGGTGGGCTGGGCGCTGTGTCTGAGCTAGTGCATGGCCAGGCATCGCTTTGAGCTTTCGAAGTCGGTCCCCCATGACAGCCTTAATGAAGCAGACGTGCTGCAGCCACGGAGCCACAGAGCGATGGGCCACTTGTCAGCTCTGAGCTGCCCCAGCAGACAGGCCAGGGCCTGCCACGTGACACAGGCAGGTTTGTGAGCCCGCTGCCACTCAGGGTGTGACAAAGCCACTGCCTCTGGCCTGAAGTTTTCTCTGTGAGTCACCAGCCCCGGGGCAGGACGACCCTGGATAGGAATGTGGGCCAGGAAGTACTGGCAGGAACAGCAGTGGGAGCTCGTGTAGACCAGGGCCAGGCGTGGGTGGCGGCAGTGCAGAACAGGACTCCTGAGCTGGGCAGGGGCCACAGGAAGGGCAGAGCAGACCGACGGTCATGGTCACTGCGTTTCCTCCCCACCTTCCTGGAACACGCCCCTGCCCGGCAGAGTGACAGACGAAGCACTGCCTGGCTGACCCACTGGTCTCATTTTCATTTTAGCCTTGGGATGAAATTAATTACACCTTGTTCATTCTGAATCCACATAAGCTACCTAGTGTGTACCCGGCTCTGACCAGGGGCTCAGTAACTGTGGGCTCTGGGACACCGAGAAGGCCCAGCTGGTGATGGGGCCACAGAGGGTAGCTGTCAGGGAGGCGGGCAGCTGGGGAGGGGCTCCCTCGGCCACGATCCCTGCTTTCAGGACTGATGGGGGCACCTCTGGAGACCTCCGCCTTGATTCCATTACTTCGACTTCCTCCCCTAACTGGATTAGAGGGCAGTCTATGAAACCCAGGGCATTGAGATTGGCTTTCTGCCCGGAAATGAGAAGAAATGTCATTACAGGTCCTGAATCAGCATCTCACCTCACCCCAGGGGCCACCTTGCCGATGGGGAGCTGCTCTCTGCCCTGGCTGGTTCTCTCCCGCACCCAGGCAGCCAGCACACAGAACGTCCTCGAGCCGGGCATGGACGCGGTGCCTTCTCCTGTTAAAATGCACAGGCAGCCCGGCACCTCAGTCTGTCTGGCTCACAGGCGCTGCACTGAGGCCCAGAACATTTCGTGGGCGGGAAGGCTTTACGGCCACAGGGGCCCTCAGCGTGGCCCCTGCCAGGGCTACCGGGAGGAGCAGGTGTGAGAGCCAGCGGGTTCTGACACCCACGGGAGTCTGGGTGAGGGGTGCAACGGGGGCCTGCCGAAGTCTGCCCGGGTTCACCCAGCGCCTCCCTCCGCCCGTCCCGAGAATCTAGTACTGCTGCTTTCTATTTGGAACTTAGGTTCATTACCCCTCGACAGGGAGTGGAAGGGAGCCCCAGCCTGGTCTGGCTGCCTCTGGGTACTTGTACGACTGTCCCTCAGTCCCACGCAAGCCCGAGAAGCTCCACGTGAATGCAGGGCTGTGGGCCCCGTCGTACCTGAAAAGGGCATAAGGAGTCCTTACTAGGAGGGTCCCGGTGGTAAAGCAAAGCTCCTGTCCTGATCCGCTTCACTCGTAGGCACGGTCTTCCTGCGGAGCAGGAACCCAGCCCTGGAGTCCTGTGAGCATCTCCCCTGGCGGGCACTGGGCACAGTACTCAATCGTTTCCAGCATGAACCCCTCGGCGGTGGGATCCTGGCTGTGTGACAGAGAGGGGTGGGACTGGTTAACCCCAGGTGCCCACAAACCCTAAGACTATGTGAGTCTTTAAACAGTGGGCACATTTTAGGGCTAGCCATGAATTTATTTATTTATTTATTTATTTATTTATTTATTGCCAGAAGGCACATGCACTTGCCAGAGAGAATCGGACGAAAGGAGGGAGAGGGAGAAAATCCCCACAATGGGACGTGGTTACAAAGCAGGCCCTTCTCCATTTCACCCTCCTTTAGGATTTGGGGCACACACACGTGCCCATGGTCCTGGTCAGCCATGTGGGATCCAGCTTCCCTAACCACGAGGCTGTGGGGCTGGCCCAGCCACAGATTTCAAAAAGAGCTCTGAAGCAACTCCTCCTTAAAGGAGCAGAGACATGTCTCTAAGCCCTAGGAACTTGGTTTTGTTAGAAAAAAACAAAAACAGGCAAATCTGGAATCCACTGTGGGAAAGCGCAGGTAGTCAGATGCTGGGCTGGAGGGACCCAGGAGAGTGCGAGCAGGACGGGCTGGCCAGCGTTGGGGAGCAGTCGATGTTAGACAAGCAGAGCGGAGAGCGACAAGCATGCCAAGGGAGGAGATAGGAAAGAGGAACATGGAGGGGAGAAGAGGCCATCAGAGCGCAGGAGGGCAGGGCTCCGGCGTGGCCAGGTCTCGGGAGGGTGGAGGTGAGATGGGAGGTGAGGGCCATCAGAGCGCAGGAGGGCAGGGCTCCGGTGTGACCAGGTCTCGAGAGGGTGGAGGTGAGATGGGAGGTGAATGTGCAGCAGAGGGCATCGGCAGAGTGTCATGACTGCACGGGGTGGGGGGCCTAGAGGCCACGGCTGGTGGCTGAGCACAAGGACACGACCCTGGGGGTAAAAGAGGCCCTGCTTGCTTGAAGCATACACCCTAGCGTGGGCATTGGAGGAGGAGGGCGAGCGGGAGGCCAGTAAACCCACTTTCTGAAACTTAACTTCCTGGTAGAGTTCTGTGGACACGGGCACACGAAACAGTGCAATGAGAGCGTTTGACACGTGGGGCCACTTTAGACAGAGTGAGCCTCTATCTCAAAGGGAAGAGCCTGGCTGAGATCACACTGCGGTTGAGGCCTGACTATGGCAGGGACTGCCCCATACATTTCCACCAGGCCCTCTGGGTAGAGAACAGCCATTGCAAAGGCCCCGAGGCAGGAAGGAGCTTAGCAAGGAGTGGCAAGAATAGCATGGTCGGTGCAGTGAGCAGCAGCAGGTGGTGGAGGCTCCTGGGGGCCAGGCAGGTAGAGCCTTGTGGAGGGACACATGGTGGGGTGTAGAAGGTGTGCTCATGGCCAAGGAGCATGGGGAAGAGCTTGTCCAATGCCTCTCCACCCCTCTCCTTCAGAGGCCAGAAAACTTCCTGACACCAAGCAACAGCAAAGCTCTGCCCAGTCTGGACCCCAAGATCCTGGAGGAGAAACTGGGGACCATCCGCGAGTCCTGGTCCAAGGCCACAGTGAGCTCTGTGCTGGATTCTAGCACGTCCACCTCCCAGGGTGCCGAGGAGGAGCCCCAGCTGCTGGAGACGGCCCAGGCCATGGTGAGTGGCCCTCTCCGTTAGGGAGGGGATAAGGAAAGGCGTTCAACAGCTACTGTGAGCATGGTGTCCCCTGGGCAGCTAGCAGACCCCTGCACGTGCACAAACTGGCTGAAGGTGTGGCATCTTCCTCTTACAAGGGTTCTCCACCTTTGGGATGAGAGGCCCAGATGACTTCATCCCCAACACTTGCAAGCCGGGGTTCTGTTTCCTCACGACCCAAAACTACCCAAGCATGTTCACTGAGCACAGGGAGGCCCCTGGAGATTAGGTCTCAATTTTGAAAAGAGAAACAGGGGCTCGAAGGGAAGGGGACTGCCTTTTTGGTCAGGGTCTGTGGCCTTGGTCTCAGGAGTTGCGTGGTTGCTGGTATCAGGTGGCTGGAGAAGGTGGCCGAGGGCCGTCTCAACTTGGCAAGGGTCAGAGCTGGGACAGGCCCTGATGCTGAGAGGAGGCCTCCAGAAAGACCAGCCAGTCTGAGTCCCAGCTGAGGTTCGTCCCAGCGGGCAGGGGGACCTCATTTGTGCTTTCCTCCCCACGTCCACAGTGGGTCCCCTGGAGACCTCCACTCTGGAAGATCCTGAAAAAAGGCCCCAGACGAGTCTGCTGGCCCCTAGGGAAGCCTGAGGCCTCCTCCCTGAGGCCCCCCTGCACCGACAGTCTCCCCATCTTCCCCTGGCACTTCTGCGCCTTCCTGGAACATGTGCCCTCGGATGATGAGGAAGGGCTGCAGCCTGCTGGGGACCCCCGAGGAGCAGGCATCGCCTTCTCCCTCCCTGCAGCCCCCTCAGTCCCGTGGGAAAGCTCTGAGGGGCGGCCTTCGGCTCAGCCATAAATGCGTGGAAGGGCAGACTCGGTTCTCGTCTGGGAGAGTTGGGGCAGTGTGAGTTTGCTGATCTCCGCTGTTCCCTGGCCTGGCCAGCGACCCCCTCTCATGCTTTCAAGTAGAGAGAGCAACAAAGAGGAAGAGGGACGTAGAAAGGCCCAGGAAGGCGCCACCGAGGGGAAGGGCCCAAGGCAGTCAGATGAGAGGGGAGCCACCATCCCTGGTCAGAGCCCCTCCGGTCTGACCTTCCAGGGACCGGCCAGCCCAGCCTCGGCTGCCACGTGGTTAGGGCCCGCTACCACGCG